ATAAATAAATAAATATAAATAAATAAATAAATAAATATAAATAAATAAATAAATAAATATAAATAAATAAGTAAAAAGATTAGTTAGTAGGTAAACAAATTAAATGATTAATAAATAAATAAATAAACATAAAAAAAATATATATAAATAAAAAAAATAAGTATATAAATAAACAAATAAAATAAATAACAAATATATTTATAAATAAATAAATATAAATAAATAAATAAACAGAAAAAGAGATAAAGAAAAACAGAAACAAACAAAAAAAAAAAAGAAAAAATAACTACAAAAAGAAAAAAACAAACTACATACAAACCCTAAACCCTAAACCCTAAACCCTAAACCCTAAAACCCTAAACCCTAAACCCTAAACCCTAAACCCTAAACCCTAACCTGACGGGTAGGGGGTGGGAGCGGAACCACGGATGCTGCAGTGCGGTGGAGGCGCTTATTCTCTTAGCTGCGAAAAAATATAAAAATAAAAAAAATATTTTATTTTATTTTATTTTATTTTGTTTTGTTTTGTTTTATTTTGTTGTGTTTTATTTATTTTGTTTTATTTTGTTTTATTTTGTTTTATTTTGTTTTGTTTTATTTTGTTCTATTTCCTGCTGTTGCTGCCTCTGCTGCTGCTGCTACTACTACTACTGCTGTTACTGCTGCTGCTGTTGTTGCTGCTGTTGCTGCTGCTGCTGCTGTTGTTGCTGCTGCTGCTGTTGCTGCTGCTGCTGCTGCTGCTGCTGCTGCTGCTGCTGACCTGGGCTCCAGGCGAGGAGTTTACATAAGAGATCCCATCCTTCTTCACCAGCTCTAAACAAAAAAAACAAAAAAAAAATAAAAAAAAAATAAAAAATAAATAAAAATAAATAAATGAAACAGCACGGTATAATAAATAAATATAATTTAATTATATTCATAAAATAAATACTAAATTTTATTTTATTTTATTTTATTTTTATTTTGATAGGATGAAGTGCTAAAGACAACAAAACTGCTGTTGCTGCTGCTGCTGCTGCTGCTGCTGCTGCTGCTGTTGCTGCTGTTGCTGCTGCTGCTGCTGTTGCTGCTGCTGTTGCTTCTGCTTGTGGTGCTGCTGCAACATAGAAAAAAAAGCAAAAAACTAAACAAACAAAAAAAAACAAAAAACAAAACAAAACAAAACAGCCAAACCAAACTATAAAAAGAAAAACAAAAAAGATAAATAAAGTAAACAAACAAAAAAAAAATAAAAAAAAAAATAAAAAAATAAAAAAAAAAATAAAAAACAAATCTTACTGGTTTTTATATTTAACAATTTTTTCGAATTCCTGGGCTTTATGGGGCGCCGTTTGCAGCAGCAGCGGCTGCGCAGCAGCAGCAGCAGCAGCAGCAGCAGCAGCAGCGGGAGCAGCAGCAGCAGCAGCAGCAGCAGCAGCAGCAGCATCTGGGGGGCCCCCCACAGACAGCTGCCGCACAGCATAAGGAGAAGACAGCTGGTGCAGCACTGCAGCATCAGCAGCAGAGGGGGGCCCTAGCTTCTGCAACAACAAAAAAAAAATAAATAAATAAATATATAAATAAATAAATAAATATATAAATATATAAATAGATAGATATATAAATATATAAATGTATCGAAGCAAAAAAAAAAAAAAAAAAAAAAAAAAAAAAAAAAAAAAAAAAAAAAAAAAAAAAAAAAAAAAAAAAAAAATAACACGACCCACCACCAGAACGAGAAAAAGGAGACAAAGACAGAGAAAACAAAACCAATAAAATAAAATAAATAGACAAAACAAATAAAATAAAATAAATAAACAAAACAAAAAAACAAATAAATAAACCTACTTGTATAATTTGTTTAAGAACGGCGAGTTCTTTATCAGCAGCAAAAACAAAAAAAACAAAAAAACAAAAAACAAAAAGACAAGCAATAGACCCACCACCAGAACGAGAAAAGAAATAAATAAACAAATAAATAAATAAAACAAAATAAAACAAAATAAAAATAAAATAAAAAACAAATAAATAAACATACTTGTATAATTTGCTTAAGAACGGCGAGTTCTTTATCAGCAGCAAAAAAACAAAAAAACAAACAATAGACCCACCACCAGAACGACAAAAGGAAGAAATAAACAAATAAATAAATAAATAAATAAATAAAACAAAATAAAAACAAAACAAAAAAACAAAATAAATAAACATACTCGTATAATTTGTTTAAGAACGGCGAGTTCTTTATCAGCAGCAAAAAAAAAACAAAAACCAAACCCACCACCAGAACGAGAAAAAGGAGACAAAGACAGAGAAAACAAAATAAACAAAACAAAACAAGTAAACAAAACAAAAAAATAAATAAATAAACATACTTGTATAATTTGTTTAAGAACGGCGAGTTCTTTATCCGCCGCAAAAAGAGGAAAGGCGCATAGAAGCTCTCCCATGATGCAGCCAGCGCTCCATATATCAGCAGCAAATGTATATGTTTCTGTTCCTAATA